TGTGGAACCCAGACTGGGCAGCTGTTCCCAGTGAGCCCCTGATGTGCGTAAAAATGGGGGCTGCCAAAGCACTTTTTCCTTGTTGTTTCCGCACCCAGAGCCCCAACCAGATGGCCATGGGCCAAGCTGCGTGCTCCACAGTCTCTTAAAGTCTATAAAACTTCCCATTAAGAGGGAAAGCACTTTCATGTTGCGCTGCTGTAAAAGTATCGGAAAAGCTAATGTTTTCTCTGCCCTCCTTGTTTAATATTTGGTGTAAAAAAAAACCAGCCTGACCTCACTGAGACAGTATTTGAAAGCGATAAGGCAAAAAAGTCCAAAAGCCCCCCAAACCCCGTGGTTTAGCCAAGCATGCTGCATGTCCTATTTATTCCACTGTCTCAAACATTGACCCTGAAACCCAAGGGAAAAAAGTGCTGCCCTTTTCTTTCCTCTGCTAATAACTCACAAATTGCTGCTTGTAAAAAACTACAGGGACATGAGGATAGGATAGCAGTGCTGTCTTGTGGCAAGACGTCCCTCTTTGCAAGCTCTGGCCCAAGGTCTTCGTCATTTACAGCTGTACATTTGATTGACTCCCATAAAAGTCCCATCTGATTTGCAAAAGTGGCTGATCCTTGCAGCCAAACTGCTGTCTCAGCAGAGCTGCAGGAGTTTCCAAGCTCCTTCCTGCTGCTTTTTTTCATCCTTCATCACGCTACTCTCCTGGGAAGGGGAAGCCTGGGCGTGTGGTTGCCACGCTGAGCTGGGAGGTGAGTGTCTGCCACAGGGTCATGGCCTGACCACGGGCAAGTCACCTCATTTCTCTGTCATTCAGTTTTCCACCTATAAAAAGGGAATAATAATAGTCCTTGGCTTTACAGGGGTGAAGTGAGGAGAACTTGCCTGCTCTTTAAGCAAAATGTTTAGAGGGTGGCTTCAAAGTAAAGCTAATAAACACAAAAAATACAAGTCGCCCTAGCAAAGCTCTGCCTATGCATTTATAGTGGCTTGGGAAAACAATTTATATTTGTTACATTTTTCTGACACAATTCTTCACTTTCCTCTGCAGACCTTCATGTAAAACAGGTTCTGTGTTGCTACCTGTAGCACTCAGCAAAGCAGAAAAGGTTAAAGAGCTCTTCTATGGGGGAATGGGGAAGATTCGCTCTTGGAACTAAACCTTGAGGTGACAGTTGCCTGGTGTTGATTCTGGGTGGTTCCCACCAAAAATTACAACGTATGGATGAAAACAACACCAGGGTTCCCCTGAGAAGGCACTGGCTGGTGCTGGTCTTTCTTCCCTGATTGAGCAGAATTTCCACAAGCCCAAGGGATGAGACAGACCTCGGATGTGCCCCCAGCTTCAGAGGAGGCCCTGTGCAGAAGGCTGCTAGCTGAGATACTACCCCCTTCAATGCTTAAAATTCATCAGGATCATCTGGGCTAGCACAGGGCTGCGTCGGACAGGAGGTCCAGGGATTTTGCTTGGTGGCCGCATGGTAGAGAGACAGGCAACGATATTCCCATCAGCTCAGAGGGAGCTGGCCTGGGAATGGGGTGCCCTGTGGTGACCTCAGGAGGATTCTAGGCCTGGGTTAATTTACCCTGCTCACCGCCTGCTTGCTGCTTTATTCAAAGTAAGCTTAGATTCCTCTGCCT